AATGGATATACAGCAATATGCTAGATACATAAGAAAAACACAATATAGTGTAGTATATTAGATATTCCAATGTGAGTGTAAGTATGATCAATATGGACTCAGATGGAGTAGAGTCAAATAAGGACAGGCTCAGATCTCACGAGCGGATGTGTTCTAAAGGGACACAGGCCCTCTTCAGTCTTTGTCCGTATTGGCTCAATGGGAGATACAAAGCGGCTGCTGGTGAAGTACAGAATGAGACGTGTAAACAGCTTATAGCAGGTAAAGACCCTGTTCCCCTGATTTAGAGCCAATTGGACCTGGCTCTGGAATATACAGCTTGTGTCTCTACAATGGGGGACACTTTCCTTCTTTGGTCCAGGAAGCAGTGGGAATGGAGTGGCATATTGCTGTATAACCATTACGTAAGTGACATTTTCTACTGCTCCACTACTATCACTGGTGGTAACTGGTTTCCATTCAGTTTATCTACATTCACATATTCAATAGCGTGTGTTGTGAAGGAGATGCTCACACTTTGTGGTAGCTGCTAACTTTCAATATTTAAGAAAATTGAGTGCCTTTACACAGATCACTTTTTAGTTTTTGTTTAAAACTTTTTTGTTTTATAGTTTTTCTTTTTCTATATTTTTACAGGTTTTTACTGCAGCTATTAACGTCTTCAAGTGTACCAGACTCTGCTCCTGCAAACTTAAATATTATAGAAACAAACCCATTCAAGCACCTAACACACCTTTCGTTAAAACTTTTAGCAGGAAATGACAGCGATGTAAAGAAATACCTTGCTACTTGTATACAAAATTTAAAGGTTTGTTTACAGCTTGATTTTTCATATATTTACAACTATACAGAGATACACGACAATTTAATGTATCTGTATGCATCTGTGTCGTTTTCTTTAGTATACCTTATTTATTCAATGCATTCAAAAAGTGTTTAGACCACTTTATTTTTTTTTCACATGTACATGTTTTAGCTTTATGTCAGTTTTTTTTTGTGTGTGTGTGTGTGTGTTGTTATTGAGTATGGAGTTTAGACTGATGTGAAATTTAACTGATGTATAATTTAATTTAAACAATACTAGCCTAAGGCTGCAACATTATTGTTTTGACTAACAATTTTCATTCGATTTAGTTGACTAAAACTAAAACAATTCAGATGACTAAAATGGCTTTTTAGTCAAAAGACTAAAACCAAATTGAAATTGGAGGCTTGGGGATTGAAAGGCTTCGCGGGGGCTTGGGGATTGGAGGCTTGGGGATTGAGGCACGGGGCTTGGGGATTGGGAGGGGGCTTGGGGATTGAGGCGGGGGCTTGGGGATTGAGGCTTGGGGATTGAGGACGGGGGCTTGGGGATTGCAGGGATTGAGGGGGGCTTGGGGATTGAGGCACGGGGGCTTGGGGATTGAGGCGGGGGCTTGGGGATTGAGGCAGGGGGGGCTTGGGGATTGAGGCGGGGGCTTGGGTTGAGGCACTGGGGGCTTGGGGATTGAGGCACGGGGGCTTGGGGATTGAGGCAGGGGGCTTGGGGATTGAGGAGGGGGATTGAGGCGGGGGCTTGGGGATTGAGGGGGGCTTGGGGATTGAGGCACGGGGGGGGGCTTGGGGATTGAGGCACGGGGGGGGGCTTGGGGATTGAGGCTCATTGGGATGAGATGCATGGAGGGATTGGGTGGACACAAAGACACAAAAGGGCTGGGAAAGGGGCAGATACTGGAGATTTGGTCAACTAAAATAAATCAAATGACTAGAATACGTCTAAAACTAAAATGACTTTTTAATCAAAAGCCTATGATTAAAAGTTGATATTTGCTGTCCTAATTAACACTTATCTGAATACTTTCTAAATTAACTGTATATAACACAACATAGCCAAATGAGAAATGATTGTCGGTGAAGTTTTGGTGTGTGCTATTATTCAGTTTTACCAAATGTACCCAGCACTCAAATTTAACCTGCATCTCATGAAGAAGCACTGGTTGGGCACCTTTTCTCAACACATAGAACGCCTTTTTTTAAATCTAGTCTCAGTACCTTCTGTGCTGTCTGATCCTTGCCTGTGCATATAAGCCTACACAGACCTTCTCCATAACAGTTTGTTCAGCCATCATGCGCCTTGTTATAGAACTGTAATAAAACACACAAATGTTCATGTGCACTATATAATTTGCAAGATCTTTCTGAGGAAAATACCATAACATATTGTCATCAGTTCTCCAAAAACACCATTTTGATTTGAATTATACTGAGCAGTGAGGAAAAACCAGCAAAATTACCCTTCCCACCTCTCCATCCATAAAACAAGCCTTCTATTGTGAGTATTTCTTAGGCAAGTGGGGCAGGGTCCTCTACCTGTTGTATCGGTCTGTTATTATTTTGTTTGTCTTTTTCCCAATTGTACAGCGCTGCGGAATTTGTTGGCGTTTTATAAATGCCAGTAAATATAATAATGATAAGTGACCAAAGGAACAGATGAACATATCATATGTGAAGTGATCTTTCCTGAGATGCACCACTGCTCATTCAATTTTGCCCTCTCTTTTGGCAGGGACGTGCATTGCATCATCACAGTAAAACAGAAAATAATAACTATAGTTGCCTCACCTGCTATATTTAAAAAGAAAATTGATGTGTGTGTCTAGTTTTAATTTAGTCTGTCCTTTATTATGTGTGATATATAAAGAAAATAATGTAATATTATATACCCACACAAAAATATTTGAAGCAGGAATAAGTGCTTTTAATCTGACTAGTTCTTGCACTTCCAGATTTAGCAAAAAGCCTGTAAGTGCAAGAATAAAACTACTACAGAATATACCTTTGCTGATATTAATATACCAGCAAAATAATTTCTCTAAACTTTTTCTGAAGGTGAAATAGCCTTTAAGTAAAAAAAGCTAAATGCAATCATCAGTGCTTGTCAGTAAAACAGAGAACCAAGGTTAAAACTTTCTTGTGGGTCAGTATAGCAGATGAAAATCATGACTTGCCAATAATTAAATTTTTTATACAATCAGCTAGCAAATGTTTCAGACCATATGAGACTGAGAGTGTATGGAGGACTTGGAGAATCTGCTGATTCTTTAACTCAGAAGGACGAAAAGATTGAAGTATTGCCCAAGATGCTTATGGAGTATTAAAAATACAGTTAATCTTATGATGGTGAGGCAGAATGTGACATCACTCATTAGGAATACAAAAGCCAGAATGTGTGGAAGCAAGTCAATGATTAAAAGTATCTTCCAGGCTTGAATAGTCCCTCCCTCCTTTTTTTAATTTTTATTTTTTATGAACTATTTTAAATGTATTTAAAATAATAAAACAATGTTTATAGCTAGAAGAACGTTCCTAATTTGCTATGATTGTACAGCCCTGGACCAAGAAGTATTTAAAGGATACATAAGTATTTAAAGGAAAACATAAATTATATGGCGAGGATCGATCTCTGGAATAGTCACTGCTTAGTTTTGTAGTTTTGCATTTCAGTTTTCTAGAATTTTGAGTTTAGTAAACCCATGAATCAAAGGAACTACTTGATTCATAACCATGCTACGAGCATGGGTAGCTGTGAATCTTGGAGTGTGGTGTTTATTCAGTTTGTCTTGAAGGTGTTGTCAGTTGTGTAAAATTTTTTTTTACAAAGCCACGTGGGACTTCATCTTTAATTTTCAGCACAATGACATTTAGAGTGTTAAACTGAGGTGCCATAACAAAGGCCAGGTGGAGTAAGGGACTAAATGGAATTTATTATAGAACGCTACGTAGTATTATATCACTATGACAATACATAGTAGGAATTAAAAATCCTCAACTAACAAGAAAAATCTCTTTACAGTCAAAATTCCTGAGCTATCACACGGATCTTCTTTACCAGCTTGTAAAGGATGTTCCTTAAAATAATACAAGGAGTCTTCACTGAAATGACATTTCATACCTTCATTAACCCGATTTGATTTATAAATATCATGGAATTATACCAGTCCGTAAAATTTATTTTCTTCAAAAGCAGTTTTATTTTATGAATTTAACATTGTTTATATATAGATTTTTTTTTTTTTTTTATATTTTTAAATATTAATGGCACTTGTTCCTTTTGAATACAGTAGAGTGAAGGGGAGGACATTACCTAATACTAGTGTAATTCTGGATATAGCTGAAATAATGGAATTTAAAGTAAAAAGTGCCCATTTACATAAAACTATTGGAATACTGACTGTGAAAGGGATTGCCTTACTACTAATGAAAATAGAAACAACTGATGATCTCAAATTGTTCCCTCAGAATTCTTGTGCTGTGATGGCTTAACATGTCAAACTCTCATGAATTACAACCCACATCCTGCATCTATGGTAACATTAGAGTACTAGGCTTTATTAAAGAGGAAATCCCCAACTTGAATCTGAATACATAACCATTAGTGATGTCCCGAACGGTTCGCAGCGGGAGGCGAACATATGCGGTAAACTTTAACCCTGTACCTCACAGTCAGCAGACACATTCCAGCCAATCAGCAGCAGACCCTCCTTCCCAGACCCTCCCACCTCCTGGACAGCATCCATTTTACATTCAGAAGCTGCATTCTTAGTGAGCGGTCCAGGAGGTGGGAGGGTCTGGGAGGGAGGGTCTGCTGCTGATTGGTTGGAATGTGTCTGCTGACTGTGAGGTACAGGGTCAAAGTTTACAGCATATGTTCGCCGTCTGTGGCGAACCGTTCGGGACATCACTAATAACCATCCATAAAAAAAATATCTCATTGGTCCTTGATTAAACTGATTTTTCACTGTTTAAAGCGTCCGTGTATAAAAGGACACCTAAGATGAGGTTACTACTTAGCACTGGTAACTGGTTGTTGAAGAGGAGTATCAATTCTCCTCCGTATTTCTCTGTATTAGTACTAAATTGGTTCCCACCAAATAACAAACACATCTATGAGTAATCGGAGTGAACACTTTGTGTACTCAATACATTTACTTTGTGTGTGTGTTTATATATATGTGTGTGTGTGTGTGTGTGTGTGTGTGTGTGTGTGTGTATATATATATATATATATATATATATATATATATATACACACACACACACACACGCATACATATATTCTCTTCTGTAGTCTACTGATTTCCCATAAATATTTATTTATGGGAGTCCAGATGGGAGATACCACAAAGGGTAGTTGAGAATGACAGGGCTACAATCCTGTGGGACTTCAAGATCCAGACAGACAAGCAAGTGCTGGCCAATCAACCAGACATCGTGGTGGTAGACAAGTAACGAAATACTGCAGTGATGGTGGATGTGGCAATACTCATGTGTCTGTGTATGCTGGATATAGGCCTTCATGCAAATCCTGTAACTCTTGGATGGGAATTTATGCATTCTTAATATAAGTAATTATTTATTTTTGTTTTTTCACTCCCCCCCACCCCCCTTCTGTACTGTTTGCTTTTTTTCCTCTCTCTCCCCTCTCTGGGCTGTTCACACAAGATATGTATGACCCTCTGCAATAATAGGGTCTATTTTCTATCAAACCTGTCTCTTATCTGCGCTCATGACACTTTAACCTCTGTATCACAACTCAACTTTGAATTCTGTGTGTTGTCTTGCTCAGAAAATCTTTAGACCTGAAAAAGGGAGGTTCGCCTGTAAGCTTGTTATTTAAAAATTCTGTTAGTCCAATAAAAAAGGTATTCCAAGATACACATTTTAGCTGTTATATTTATATTCAAATAAAAAGGTATAATTGCATACTGCAATACTCTGGTATTTTGGCATTATATACACTATCAATGTATTTTCTTACCCTAGTTACTGAATTTATAAATACAGAGTAGCTAACAGAATTGTCTACAATACATTCAGTTTCAAGAATGCAGACCGTGTGACACTATATTTAAGATGGTTATGAAAGATATTTTTTCTTTAGAGTTGCATATATGTATACTTTTAATATTATGTGATTTGCTAAAATTACACATTTACTTTGTTTTGGCATGTAGTTGGAAAATAGTTCTTTAAAAGACAAGCTTCAACAAACACAAGAGGATCTTTCTAAAAGACTTTGTGTCACACAACAGGTAAAGTTGCTTTATTTGTTTTGTGTGGATAAATTATTGCATGGAAATCTACTCCCACAATTTTAGAATTCATATGTTCTGGATGTAAAGTTTAAAGATTAATATTCACCATGATTCCAAATCTAAATCTCTTGAACTATTTTTTTTTTTTTTTTTTAATGGGATATTAAACTACTGTGGTAGGAATATACCATGCTTGTATTTTTCTTTGATAACCTTGCAAAAAGGTTTTGCTTCCTTTATACCACTTATAGTTTTTAAATATTTTTTTTCTCATATTCTTGCAATAGCCATGATAACTTTACAGACCACAGTGAAAGAACTACATCCTCATAAGTTAAAATTTCAAAAGGGAGCGGTCACTTCCCAGTATTTTACTTGGTATTATGTTTGTTTATCTCTAAAGTTAAAGGAGCTGTATGGGCACCACAGCAACTTCATCAAATTTAGGTAATTATGGTGCCCAGACGTATCTGGTATTTTCTTACACACATGTACCTTTTTTGATTGGGGAGCTACTGATTGGCTTAGAGCTGACTGCCTTAAGCCAATCAGCGGTACCCCTGCCCTGTGGGACTCTGTACTTTATCAAACTGAATTGAAGAAAGCGGTTACCACTGGGGACAGTGAGATCTGGGTCTGGAGAGCAACCTTCAAGAACAGTGTAAAACCTTCAGGTAAGAAAGCACCAGTGACCTGTGGGCACCAGAACTTTATTTAAAATACATTTTTATGGTGTTTATAAAGTTCCTTTAACAAACATATATATGTGAGTTGTTACCAGATTATAGGGGGTTATATGGATGCAGTACATGTTAAAAGTAATCAACTTTGTAAAGCATAATAATGATGCATATGGTTACATTTTTGATGAAGTATGCATACTCTCAAAGCATACTTTTTCTCCCAAGGATTACATTTTACAATTTTTTTTTTAACATTTTTTTTAAAATCAGATTTGCTTTAGTGATATTTTAAATATATATTCTATTACTAGGCCTTGTCAGAGAAGTGCAAAGAACTGGATAAGCTGCGGAACGAATGGACATCTCAGACGTCTTTATTAACTAGCAAGCATACACAGGAAATCACTGCAGAACGAGAGAAAGCATTGCAGGTTCAATTAATGTTTCATTTGTTTTTATTCTGGTTTTAAAAAGAGATTCGAAGAGTGAGTGGGGAGATATGGCGAAAAAAAAATCTGCTCAAGTTTCTAACTCTTCTACATGCAGCTAGTGCTTTGTGATGCTGTCTCCGAAAGCTCTTTGTAGTGTGAAAATCAAAGCTTGTGTCACTGATGTTTCTCTAATAGGCCATCACAATAGAAAATTTCATATACACAGTTTTAAAATAAGTCCTCTGTAAAAGGGTGTGAAATCGGATTTTTGAAGGTTAACCTCGTCTTGCCTAACTGATATCTTCCTGACAAACATTTTTGCATACTATTGTGCTTCAGTTTTATGGTTACCTTATGACAGGCTAAATTCTTTATAACCTATAAGATCCAGCACACTCACTCATTTACTGAACAGCAACTGCAAAGCTCACAGAATGTAATAGTTTGTGGGAGGGGGATTGTTCGTTTTTTGCGATTTATAAAATAAACATTTAACCCAGGCAAAAAATAAGGTTTAGTTACTGTAGATAATCATACATTGCATAAGCATGCCACAATGCCAATGTGCCCCATTTTGGCAGGTCCCATCCAGCAACCTACTGCCAGCTCTTATGAGATTAACCCATTTATTTGGGAAATACTTCTTCCAGATCCTCTCTGCAGTGCGGGACTAAAAAGGCCTTGGATTAAGGCACCTGTGACACGGTGACAGGGAGGGGTAGAAAACTGATGAGTTGGCCTAATCTCCATAATTTTTATTTTCATATGAAACCAAGAGGGCTGCATGTTATAAGGGTGCATTTGGGGCCTGGTACATTGAAGGGGTTAATTTATGATCATGATGGACAGATCAGGCGTTAGTCCCGATGAAAGTTCCCATGTGGAACTGAAATGTTGACATTTTTCAACACTTTTTTTTTTCAAGTAAAGAATTTGTGAATTACCTGGGAGTGCTGATTTAATTGTTCTACATACAAAGTGCAATCGAGCACTGGGTCAAAAGACAGTGAGCAGGAGTGCAAGGTCTTTTTTATATTTATTTATATATATATATATATATATATATATATATATATATTATAGTGTGTTTGTGGATAGTTAATACAATGTTAATCAAAAATCTGCACAACAGTCAAGCCATAAGACTTGCTTTTCCCACAGAAATCACAAATTTGCAGTGATGGTATTACCGCAAAGGATTCTGGGTGGGCATATGCAAATTAGTTTAACACGTCACTGTTAACCATTCACTGGCTTTGCATCTTTTCCTAAGTTGTGTTTCAAAGCTGTTGTATACAGCAAACACCGGCTCAAAGGAATTCATGTTTAACCCTTTCACGACCGCTGACGGTTCAGGACAGTCATCAAAAAAAATCACATTGAGGACTGGTGACGGTTCTGAACCATCATAACAGTATTATGTACTTACCTGATCACCGTGACTATGTGGCTACTAAAAAAGACTGGATATACCCCATATTGAATACTCTGGGTTGCCTACTTTAAAAAAAAAAAAAAATTAAAAAATTAAAATGTACATATGAGTTGTGATTCAGAGATTTATGACAGATAACAGTGTTTCAATGTCACTATTGATACATCTAAAAATGTATGTTTTGAAACCGCAATATCCTATTTGTACTTATAGCCCTATAACTTGCAAAAAAGCATGTAAACACTGGGTGTTTTTTTTTTAAACTCTGGACAAAATTTTGAATCAATTTAGCAGTTTTTTTTATTGTTTTTTTTTATTGTTTTTTTTAGATACTAAATTTTTTTTTAAGTAAAAGTCAAACATGTTTGTTTTTTCAATGTTTCACCATAAGTAAATTATATGACATGATGCAAATAATGGTATGTAAAGTAAGCCCTTCTTGTCCTAAAAAATAAAATAAAAAAATAAAATAAAAAAATAAAAAATATATAACTTGGAACAGTAAATGAGAGAGGAAAATTACAGCTAAACACAAACACCACAAAAATGTTAAAACAGCCCTGGTCCTTAACGTACAACATGGCCAAAACAGTCCGGTCCTGAAGGGGTTAAAATGGAATGAGGCAAAAATGTGATTCTTTGTTAAACTAATTTGCATATGCCCACCCATAATCCTTTGCGATCGTAACATCACTGCAGATTTGTGATTTCTGTAGGCAAAGCAAGTCTTATGGCTTAACTAGTGTGCAGATTTTTGTATAACATTCTATTAACTATCCACAGACTTTAGATGGAAATAGTTTTCAATCACAATTTTTTTTCCCCACCAGAACATTTTTGATATATATAAATGTTCTGGTGATGGACAGTTACTTTTATAAGTTCCTCAGAAAGGGACTTCACAATTACCTCTAGTTTTCCGGTTTGTAGCTGGTGAGTAGTGATGTCGCGAACGGGGGGCGGCGGGTGGGGCCATAAAGATAATGAGGGGGGGACCTACAGTCCTCCCCCTCTCCGGCCCCCACCCCTGTATGGTGGGTGGGGGCCCTAAAAATAACAATAAGGGGGGACCTACTGTCCCCCCTGGCCCCCACCCCTGAGCGGTGGGTGGGGGCCCTAAAATAACAATAAGGGGGGGACCTATTGTCTGCCCCCACCCCTGAGCGGTGGTGGGGGCCCTAGTCACCCCCCCCCCAAAAAAAAGATCTCCCTACCTACCCCCCTCACCCTAAAAATAATGAGGGGGGGACCTTTAACTAAAAACCTGTAAAAAAAAAATTAGATAAAAATAACTTACCATTTGATGTTTTCTTTCTTCTACAATCTTCTTTTTTCAGCCCCAAAAAAGGCCAAATAAAAAGCCATAAGAACCGACGCAATTAAAAAATAAAAAAAATAAATAAAAAAAAGCGCACAAAAAAATAATTCATCTTCACCCATGGAGGGCTCCGCGCAGACTGAGCTCTGC